AGACGATTCGGATTGTCTCGAAGACCCCTGTTTGAGAACCGATCGTTACCTTGCAAATACCGCTCTCTTCCTGGATGATGATTTGGGTATTTCGGGCGATGCGTGCAGAGAATTTCGTGGGCAGACCGAGGGCCTCGTCGAAGGAGTTGGTGTGCACTGATTGTGTTCCACCGAATACTGATGCCATGGCTTCAATGGTAGTTCGAATAATGTTGTTGTACGGGTCCTAAAATTTGTGGCGTCAATGGAGGAATTCCTCGTGGTAGAATCTTGTCCTTACCTGCTCAGTAAGGGACCATCCACTGGTTTGGCAATGAGTGCGGAGCATGAGCGATTTGTCGCTTTTTGGATTGAAGCGCTCCTTGAGAAGGTTGGCCCAAAGGCGACGAGCAGCGCGCATTTTGGCTATTTCCTGAATTCGAAACTGTGAACATAGAACTCTTACTAGAACGTTTTCACGCACGAAGTAGCACGGTCCATTCTGATCAAATAGGCAAAGACTGATGGCATGAGCCAATGAGTAGGGTTCAATGGTTCCCTCTCTCCGCCCATGGGATCAGCGTGGACTGTTTCTTCAGGAAGTTCCTCTTACCATGTAGAAGTTCATTCCAATGCCCCAGAAGAAGCTCAGACGTGGTGCAAAATCGTCTATGCTAAGACCGGCGTTGATTCCTGTTTCGCAGTACTGAATGCCGTCAGCAATAGTGAAAGCCATCTCCAAAACTGCGTCTGCACCCGCTTCCTACAATGGTATCGGTTACTGTAGCTTACTTATCGAAAAGGTCAGTTCGCAGACTAAAAATTCCTTATAAAAGTCAGTGAAACTCTAAGATGAGCTGCAGGTTCATTATCAGGCAATTCTGGGTTAGCCATGCCTTGTTGGCGTGAAATAGTCAAGCGGGTAGTGGTCACAAGAGCACGAGATGCAAAAATCTCTTCTTTCGTGTTGGTGTTTCCTTCTGGAGGAAACGATAGATGTTGATCGCTCCCATCAGATTTCTACAAGAATCGGATACGAGGTGAGAGAAGCACAGCAGTCGAAGGTTTTTGCCAGGGTATGGTCGTATATACAGGGGGGGGGGCAAAAAACTTTTTTCTTCCTTGACTTTCGAGGCGCTATAAGTTACACTTTAAATTCTTATCGGACATTTCTACCACCATATTAAAGAGCATATTAAATACTATCATGACACTCCGCCACAGCCTTCTGGACGAGCGCCATCGAGAGATTCTGCCATTCGGTGCCTGAGTTCAGCGAGATCGTTGATTTCTCCGCCACTGTAGACCACCC